TCCCGCCCATGCCAAGTTTCATGATAGTAAGAGTACTTTATTATGACATTGATTTGTAACAATGTATTTGATGTACTCACAGGTGTGACTATGAAGTAGGGAGTACTAAACAAATGAACCCATTTCTCTGCAATCGCTCTGTTTTCTCTGTATCCAACTGTGGCTTCACTAAATTTCTCCAAAGCAATCTACACAAACAGTCTCTAATTTCAGATAAACTAGATTTGATCATCTGGCACAAGAAAGCTATAAAATAGATTGAAAAGTCGGGCCAAATTACCTCATTAGCTATGTTTGCTCCCATTAGAACACAACAATTAATGCCCAACTGCTCTGAGATGAGTGTAGAGATCATGCACGGGCCCTCCATCTTGACCTCCATTCCTTTGATGAGGGAGATAGCTTCCACATCCCCTTTTATCTTCCCTACAAGTCTCTTGCATATACCCTCCATAAATTGATGTGGAGTGACAAACACCAACATGTTTGCACCATTCACTGCAAAATCCCCCACTTGAATTACAAAAATTTGCTCCAAGTACCCAACAAATTACACAAGTTTAGAAACATCGAAATTGAGTACCTGCATTATCAAGGTCTGGGTCTGCAACAACATTTTTCCCCAGCTTTATGCCGGGCAGATATTTCACATTTTCCTATTGAAGAAAATGGATAGGAAGATTAAATGGGGAGAATTGGTTCATCACATATAAGAGGAGAGGAATGAATGAATGTATGAAAGGTCATTGATTTTTACATTGTTTCGGTTGATGGCATCTGTGAGCTTCTCACCACTCGGTAACGTTTCCTCAAATACCCACATTCTCACTTCATCTGAATTTCATTGGAGAAAAAACAAAACTCGAATTGAAAATGGAAGTAAATCAACTGAACATGTATTGGAAAATCAGAATCTTCATTCATTGAACAGCCAAGACCACAAAAGCCCAGAATCAAACAGGGAAATGCAATTAACTTGACATTCTTTAAGAAATCAGACCCTGTTCCAAAATCAGGCTCTATTCAGTTTCTCAACAGCAACCAAATCCAAACGTAGAATTCAAGAATAGCGGATAAACCAAAATTCTGACTGGTGGCATAAATAAAAATCCAGACTTGCATTGCATTGCATTGCATGCAAAAAAGAAAATGGAAATGTCGAAAACAAATAATAAATGAAAGATATACCATGGAAAGAAGAGAGCCTGAGGGTATTAGAGGCAATGAGTTTGGCAGCCACACTGCCCCAGTTGCCACTACCCACAACGGTGACTTTGGTTTTGTGAAGAGCTTCATGGTCACTAGCGTAAGTGTTGTTATTCTGGGGCAGAGTTTCTCCGTCTTGTTGAAGTTCTGGAGCCATGGATGAAGAGAGAGAACGAGAGAGAGAGGGAGAGAATACGGAAGAAAGAAGCAAAGGGTAAATGGGTAATGCGTGGAAGAGAGGAATAGGAGCGAGAGAGGAGGGCAGGAGAGAATATAAGAGAGAAGACAATCGTCGGGGCGGAGATGCCATACACGTTTCGTCACAAACGATGTGTTTCCAGTTAAATCTGGC